GGATTACAAAAAAAAAAACAAACACTTCGATCATGGATTACAAAAAAGAAACAAACATTTCGATCATGGATTACAAAACATTCGATCATGGATTACAAAAAATTCTATCTTGGGTTACAAAAAAAAAAAAGTTCGATCATGGATTACAAGAAAAAAAACAAACATTTCGATCATGGATTACAAAAAATTCGATCATGGATTACAAAAAATTCTATCATGGGTTACAAAAAAACAAAAAATTTGATCATGGATTACAAAAAAAAAAAACAATTCGATCATGGATTACAAAGAAATCTATCATGGATTACAAACAAAAAAAAAAAAATCCGTACAGGACTCGCCGATTCCGTACAGTGAATCGGCGAGTCACTATGCAGAATCCTCCGGTTCTCTCTAGAACCGGACAATCCCCGGTTTTTTCACCGATTCGATCCGTCCATGGCGATTTCCGAGTCGAACCCGGTTCGACTCGGTGTTTTTTTAAACACTGGTCTAAACATTTCTTCACCTTATATAACTTATGGGCACATTCCTTAAATAGGTTAAATAGAATCTTATGGACCCTTCTCGGTCCAAGACCACTCTACCTAGAACCAGACCCAATGGGGGGCTCAGGGATCCGACCCACGCCTGACATGGGGATTCAAGTCGGGTCAGGTCGACCCAACCTGGGTCTGACCCAATTTTTTATTTTTAAAATTTAATTCTTAGCTACGTATTTATTTTTTATCTTGGCATTATTAGAGATAATCAATATTAAATAGTTCAATTCAAGAGAAATGTTTTGGTAACTTTTTGGGCAATTAAGTAAAATGTGATTTACTTAATTTGTATAATAACTACTATAGGGAAAGGTTTTTATGATTTCCCTACAGCATAGAAGATATGTGCTTCCCCTACCATCCAGCCTTCCAATTTTGATCATGAGAGCCACTCACTGTTTGATCTTAGATCCGACATCTCAAAATATTTTATTTTTAGTTTTTTTATATAAATTTTATGAATATATAATTTGGTACGTGCCATCTTCTCATTGGGGTGCACCTATAAAAAATATTAAAAATAATTTATCGATAAAATACAATGACCAAAATACCCCTTTACATTTTTTAGAGGTATTTTGGTCATTTTATTTTATTGAAAATTTTTTTTTTTTTTGTTTTTTTTTTTTCAGTAGTGCGAATTTAGTAGAGGATGGGACATCCAAAATTTGGTGTCAAAATAGTTTATATATATGAAAAAAATTAAAATAAGATAGTGTAGAGGTATGACATTGCGATTGGGGCAATTTTAGCCCTCCATTCAGAATGGAGGGTCAGATAAGGGGTATATAAGTTTAATGCTATAGGAGAAGCGTAGAAAGCTTGCCCATAACTATGTATTGTTATAGCTATATGTATACTATAATTATTTATTTATATATTAAAGACTAATATAAAACCTAGGTCAGTCGACCTAAAACAAATTTCAAATTTCAGGCTCATGTAAACATGAATTTCAAATAGTGCAACACAATAAAATACATAATACATGTTAACAATAGGTTTTTTTTTTTTTAAAAAAAAAGTACTCATTACTTAATGTCAAAATTAAATTTGGTTCATAGTTAGCAAGTCTTCGTTTAAAACATGATATCTAAAAAAAACAAATGATTTTTATAGATCCATTAAGAACTCTGAGTTTTTCAAAATATCTTCCTAATATCATGCTTTTTAGTGAAACCGAGATAAATCTGTATTTTCTCTTCTTGAAAAAAAACTTTTCAAATAAATTTATTCCCTATAATATTATTTCTTCATCAACATAATATTATTGAATCTTGGTTTAAAGATAAGTACATTAACAATGGGAGTAAATTGAAAATCTTGATTTAACAAAAAATTCCATAAAAAATTTCACCAATGAGTCCCTTAAAAAAATCAATGAAAAATTTCAAGCATTATATTTCCCAAAAAAAAAAAAATCGAAACAATCTTATATTACAAAATAATAG